TTTTTTTTACTCTCTTTCTTTCTCTCAAGCGGAAAAAAAAATTTAATGATAATTAATTATAAAAAAAAAAATTTTCTTTTTTTAATTAACAGAGGGAGAACCGCATTACACGTTGCGGCAGCTCATAAAAATAGAAGCATTTGTTGCATGTTGGTTTCCGGTGGAGCTTTTGTTACACAAAAAGATAACGATGGTAAAACACCCCGTCAATTAGCATTAGAAATAAACGATACGGAATTGGCTTCTTATTTAGAACGTAATTAATCACTATTATTATTATTATTATTTAGTACCTATTACGTAATCAAAACCTAATCGATACGTTCAATTTTTTATAGGTCAGGAAAAGTTTCAATTAGTTTTTGACGAAACGGAAACGGCTGTTTGAAATTTACCTAATAAAATTATTATTGTAATTTGTGTGCGTGCGTGTGTTTGTATGTCTGAACAATCTTTTATATTTTCTTTTCTTTTGTTTGTTTGTTTGTGCCTGAACAATTTTTTATATTTTCTTTTGCCTTCTTTTTATAATCAACAACAAAAAGAAAAAAAATGCAATATGAGTTTTAATTTACACAAAAAAAAAAAAATTTTATCTGCTCACTTTATGTTTTTGTTTATAACCTTTGACACATTACGTAAACTATTTATTATTATTATCATCGTGTGAAAGAAAGTATTAATTAATAAAATAATGATTTTAATAATAATTAATAATAATAATAATACTGATAAATTTGCACTGTGAGTTATGTTTTTTTTAATTTAATTTTTTTTTGTGATAAAGTAATAATAATATTAATAATAATAATTTATAGACACGAAACCATAGGTTTTTAGCATATTATTTTATTAATGATAATAATAATAATAATGATAATGATAAATTAATGAATGATTGATAATAGTTTTTATTAAAGTTGCCTTTGCACTCCTAGTCTTCAATCTAACTATTACTTTTTGTTACCTAATATTTTCTTACGCTTTTAATAAATTACGGTTTGTAATAAAATTTGCAAAAAAATAAATAAATAAATAAATAAAGTATAAATAAATAAATAAGTAAATAAAATATATATATATATATAAATAAATAAATAAATATTTGAGTAACACGGAATCGTATTGTAAATAATAAATTTAATTGTATGAACATGTGGAGAAAAAAAAATTTTGTGTCAATTTTTTTTATTAATTAATAAATTTTAATAATAATAATAATAGTAAAATTTTTTAATTATTAAAAAGGTGTCTTAACCTTATTATTATTAAAATAATAAATAACAAAAAATAATTTTTTTTTTTTTAAATTTAAATTAAAATAAAACTTTTGAATAATAAATAAATATTATTATTATTGTTATTAAAAATTTTAAATAATAATAAATAATGAAAATGTTTGTCGATTCCGTGTGCGTGTGTGCGTGCGTGCGTGTGTATGTGCGTGTATGCTAATGAATTTTCTTATTAAGAGAGGAATTAATAATATTAATAATTTTTTTCATAATATTTTCTAATAGAATAATTTTTATTCTCTGACAACATTGCCTTTTTTCTACTTGTTTATAAATAATTATAATAATAATAATTATTATTATTATTATTAATCAATTATTAAAAAACATGGTTTTAAATAAATAAATATACTCGTCGACGACAAAATTTATCGTCATTTATGATAACAAATGATAAGAAATTTTTTTTGTCGTCGTCGGTAGAAATCGTTACGAGCCCCAACGATTTCATACTTTTTTTTTTTATTTATTTATCACCGTGTTTTAACACGTTTAACGTGTCGTGTAATGTAATAATAATAATAATAATAATGTTAAAATTAATAAAAATATTATTATTATTATTATTATTTGAAAATTAAATAAACAAAGCCTTTCGAATTTAAATGTTCCTCCGATGTTAAAAAATTATTTATTTATTTATTTTTTTTTTTCGTGCGCGATGTAATAAAAAATAAATAAATAAAATAAATTATCATCATTATCATCATCATTATTATTATTATCATTATTAACTGACCTTCTTTCAATCATCTTTGAGGTTTTTTCTTTTTTCTCGTACTAAATAACGTTAATTTTCTTTTTAAATCTTAATAAAAAAATCGTAATTTAACATTTATTACCTTTAAATAATTACTTTTTTAATAAATGATGATGATGATGATGATGATGACGATAATAATAACTCGATTTCCTGTTTATTTGTTTTGGTAGCTCAAATTTTACCCAAAAAAAAAAAAATTCTATGAAATTTTTACGAGATTTAAAATTTAAAAAACGAATTATTAATATTATTATTATCATCATCATTAATTTTTCAATTATTAATAAATTTCAATTTTTTTTTCTTTTTAATAACTCTCATTTTAAAAAATTACGTAATGAAATTATTAGCAATACGTATTGTATATATATATATAAATAAAAAAAAATTCGAGCTTTATTGAATTATTATTATTATTTTTATTATTGAATAAAGCTTGAATTAAATAAATAAATAAATAAAATCTTGTAACAATCATTAATTTAAAAAAAAATTTATTTATTATTAGCTATTTTTTTTTTCAAATCAAATCAATCTTTTAATAATAATTTTTAAATAATCTTTTTAATAAATAATAATTAAAAAAATATATATAAATAAATAAATAAATAAAATTATTTATAATTTTTCTTTAAATTACTTCTTAATATTTTTAATTATCATTATTACTATTATTTGTTATAAAAGTTTTAAAAAAAAAGAGAAAAATAATAATAATAATATTTTGAGCATTTGAATATAATACAAGAAAAAAATTTGCTCATTTATTTATTATAACATTATAGTATGATAACAATAAATGTTTTATGTTATCATAATTTATAAAATTAATTAAATTTTATTAATTAATTAAATTTGTTTGTGTAAAATGTTTTTATTTATTTAAATATTTTTATTTACAGATTAATTGTTCTCTATTTAGTGTATATGTATTTGTTTTTAAATTATAAAAAATTGAATAATAATAAATTAATAGTTTTGAAATTTTTAAATAATTAATAATATAATGATATAATTTATATTAAATGATAAAAAAAATTATTTTAATTTATTATTAATGAATTTAAATATATTATTTATATATAAATATTATTATTGCATGTTTATTATTATTATTTATTAAAATGGTTTTACTTTCATAGAATGAAATTGTATGTAATTTTTTTCTTTTCTTTTTTTTTTTTTTATTTTGATTTATTAAAACATTTTAAAAAATTATAAACATTTTTTTTTTTATTCACCCATTTCCTTTTTTTTCCTAAATCCTTTTCTTCCTTTTTTTTTTTAGTAATAAAAAAGAAAAATAAATATTAATATTAACGGTTTTTAAATCATTTTCTTTGTTTTTTTTTTTTCTAAAAGTAACTATTAATGAAACAATTTTGTTTGTTTTGTTTTTTTTGTTTTGATAAAATTCCGCCAAAATTAGTCTAGCAAACTAAAAGTATTTTAAAATGTTATTCTAATGCCACGAAATTTAAGTAAAATTTATTTTTTTTTTAAACACTTGCTGTACTGATTAATTTATTTTTTAATATTTGTTTTTTTTTTTTTTTTTTTTTTTTTTTTACGGTTTGAATAAAATTTAATGAACCGATTTTTAAAATTATATATTATTTTACTATAATAAATATAATGTAAATTGTTAAATATTGATTTAGTTTAATATATATTCAAATATTTTTAATGATAGTTATAGTGAGCGGTTAAAAATGTCTAAACTGTTGGAAAAATTAAAAACTTATTTTGGCCATGACCGGTTTCGTAGTGAAATACAAGAAAATGCAATAAAGACAGTATTAAAAGGTTAGGTGAAAATATTTTATGTAAAATACTTTTTGTAATTAAAATTATATTAATGTAATTTGTGATTTGTTTAAGATTTTTTTATATTTGAAGTGTGACGTTATGAAAACGTTTTTGATCATTTTAGGAAATCAAGATGTTTATATTTCAATGCCTACAGGATCTGGTAAATCTTTATGTTTTCAACTTCCAGCAGTACTTCAAGAAAATAAAGTTGCTATCGTTTTTTCACCATTAATATCACTTATGAAAGTAATACTGATTTTTATTTAAATAATTTTTTATTAATTCATTTACACATTTCATTAATGTATATTATTTTTTTTTTTTTTTTTTTTTCAAGGATCAAATCGATCACTTAAAAAAACTCAATATCAAAGCAGTGACTCTTAATTCGAAAATGAATGAAAAAGATAGAACTGCTACAATAAATGGACTTAAAGCTGTAAAATGTGATATATCATTATTTTATGTTGCTCCTGAACAAATCAAATCTGCGACTTTTTTGTCACTTCTTACTTATCTGTACAGTAAAAAAATGATATCTTATTTTGTTGTCGATGAAGCACATTGTATTAGTCAATGGGGTCATGACTTTCGATCAGAATATTTAAAATTAGGATCGCTTAGAATTAAATTTCCAGGAATTCCTTATATTGCTTTGACAGCAACTGCCAGTTGTGAGGTTGCAATAATTATTTTATTTATTTATTTTTTTTCATAAAACTCTGCTTTTAAAATTGCTAAATTTAATTTTTGTAATATTTCAGGTTGAAAAAGACATAATAAATAATTTAAAATTGAATAGGCCTTTTGGTAAATTTAAAGTACCTTGTTTTAGGAAAAACTTATATTATGATGTAGTTTTTAGAGATATTTTAGATGATGATGTAGAACATTTAAAAACATTCATTGACAAATGTTTAGCTCAAACTTCAAAAACTGAAAAAAAGGTAAATCAAACTATCTGTTCATTGTTTCATTTCCATCATTTATTTGAAAAAAATAAATATTAATAAAATTTTTTTCTTCATTTTAGAGTATGTTACCCTCAGGAATTATATATTGCAGAACGAGAGAATCGACAGAAGATATTGTTAAATTACTTTTGAAAAAAGGTTTAACAATTCAAGCTTATCATGCTGGATTATCAGATAAACAAAGAATACAAGTTCAAAATGATTGGATGTCTGGAAAATGCCCTGTTATAAGTGCAACTGTGAGTTTTGGAATGGGTATCGATAAAGCTGCAGTAAGGTAATGAGTGTAAAAATTTAAAACTTGTTATTGTTTTTAAATTATTAATAATTGCTACTCATAAAGACGTTACTATTCTTGAAAAATTTCTTTTCATAAAAAAATCAACCATTAATTTTTTTTTTTCAGATTTGTTGTTCATTGGGGAATGCCACAAAGTGTTGCTGCTTATTATCAAGAGTCTGGAAGAGCTGGAAGAGATGGACTGCCTTCCCTTTGTAGAATATATTACTCTAAAATTGAAAGAGATAGAGTTGATTTCATTCTTAAAACAGAAGCAAGAAAAGCCAAAACAGAAGATAAAGTTGAAAAAGCAAAATTAGCATATAAAAGTTACGAACGTATGGTGAGATACTGTGAAGAAGTTAAGTAAGTTGTTTTTTATTCAATTGTATTTTAATTTTAATTTTAATTATTCTAAACAATTAAATTTTAATTAAAGATGCAGGCACAGCGTATTTGCTGAATATTTTGGCGACGATAAACCTCCCTGTAAAAAAAATTGTGACGTTTGCAAAGATTCAAAAACAATCAGCGACCAAATAAATGAATTCCAAACGAAAATTTCACAATACGGGTCTACGAAATTACACATAACCGAAGATGATGGAGAATTATACGGTGGTGGAAAGCAAGGTCAAAGACTTGAAGCAGACGATTATTTTTCAAGTGCGGATGGTCCTTCGTTAGAGAAAAGAGCAAAAACAGAATTGGAAAGTTTAATTAAAAAAGAATTTGCCAAAAGGTCAAATGCTAAACAAGAAGGAGAAGAAAGTGAAAATGCTAAATATGCTTTGGTTAAATCAGCTGGTGCAACATCAACCAAAGTTAACGGCCTCAAAATATCAGTTAGTTGTTTGATGAATTTCAGATTTTTAAAACTTTTTGGAAAATTATAATTATTTTGTATTTTACACACACACACACAGGTTCGAGAAAGTTTCTTAAAGCTAATTACGGATTGTTTAATTAAAAATGTGGGAGCATGTGAAAAAAATGGAGAAGTATCCAAAGATGATTGTGAAGCTTGTGCCATTGAATTAGAATATAAATGTTTTGTTTCGACAAAAGTTGTTACTTTATATCGTAGATCTGTTGTTGAAACCGTTAGTATTTCTAAAAATTTTATAAATTATCATTTTTTAAATATAGTCTTAAGTGTGTTCTTATATTTACAGATAACTTCGATAAAAAAATTAACCAAAGATTCAAAATTTTTTCTAACGCTAGCTGATTTTATCGGAAAAGGAAAACCTAAATTAAATTTATCATTAAAAGATAAAAAATCAACGGTTAAAACTAATCCAGGTGATTTAGCAGAGGTTAAAAAAAAAGAAAAATCAAAAAATATAAAAATTTTACCGAACGATCAAAAAATCATATCCGATTATTTTAAGAAAAAACATTCATCACCGGAAGTTGATGAAAAAATTGTCGTCGACGAATCGAAAAATACAAATAATATTAGCGAAGAAGAAAAACATTTAAAGAGTGAAAAAGATGAAAAATCCGATGTGATAATCAAGGCGAGTGATAGTGATTTAAATGTTCAAAAAAATACAAAAAGAAAAAGATCGGTGAGTTCGTCGTCGAGCGGAGAAAAAAAAAGGAAAAAAAATTTAGAAAATTCAAAATTAAAATTAATCGATTTGTTTGGAGATGACGTCAGTAACGTTTCCGGAAAGACGTCAGACAGAAAAATAAAATCATCGACTGAATCCACGCAAGAAGATTGTGAAGAAAATGAATTTAAATTAAAATTTTCGACAAAGGAAAGAGCTCGAGTTAGCGATTTGGTCGTTAAAAATTTAATGCCGATTTATAGAGAAAGACAATTGATAACGAACAAGGATCAATTTAAAAGCATTGCTAAAACAATGTCAAAATTTTTACTTGAAACTCGAGGACCCAACATAAGTAAAAAATATTATTTTAAATGTATTAAAATCGAATGATGGAAACTAAAACTGTTTAACGATTATTATTATTTTTTTTTTTTTTTTGTAGATGACGAAGATGTTTTTCATCAGGTGGAAAATTATTTCGATAAAAAATCATTACCTATTGAAATCACAACGGGTTCGTGAATATTTATTTAATTTTTCTGAAATTTATTATTCAATACCTCTCCTTAAACAAGGGATTTATCAAAGTTTATTTTTGCATCACCATATTTTTTCTTTTGTTTGCACACGCCATTTTTAACGGTTTACTTTTAAAAAGTAATAAATTTAAAAAAAAAAAAAAAATCACTAATTTTTTTATATTTATATTTGTTTTCATTATTATAAATTATTTTCTTGTACTTTTTTTTATTTTATTATATGTTTAATTGCTAAAGTGAAACTTTAAATAAAAATATATTTAAAAATAAAAGAAATTTCACGGGGGAAGGGTAGGGGGAAAGGGGGAAAAGTAAAAATAAAAATAAAAAATTTGAAAATAACGACAATCGAACATGAAAAAAAAAATTTACGTTCCGAAGTTGGTACAAGTCACCGATTTATTTTCACTTTGTGAAATTTTCAAAAAAAAAGAATTAGGTTGTAAGGTCAGACACTTGTGTGATGTAAAACAAATTTTTTTTTTTTTTTATATATAAATGAAGGGAAAACAATTGGTGAGTAAGTAATTAATATTATTTGTGGTTTTGTCTGTCAGAATAAATTAATAATTTTTTGTTTTTTTTTCTCTCTCAAAAAAAAAGCTTTTTTACCAAAGTTTGACCTTAAACAGCCGTTAGAACTTTTAAAACACTTACATAATGCGGACTTTAAACAACGTCATTTTAAAAATATAGGACAATGATTATAAATTAATAAACTAACAAAATATATACATATTATTAAAATTTTTCATTATTATTCATTTGAAAAAGTTAATTTTAATTGGTGTTTGCATTGTTTGATTAATTAATGTTTTAATTCTAATCAGGTGTATAAATCTGTATGAAATGGAGGTAATAATTTAGTTTTCTTTTTTTTTTTTTTTTTTGAAAACTTTGACGTTGCTGTTGTTTTGTTTTTTATCCAGTTGTATTAATTAATCTTGTTTTTTGTTTATAGACAATTCCAGTTTTAGAAACTGGAGTGCTTTTACTTGCTGGCATTTTAGCAGTATATTATTTGTATAAAAAAACTCTTTTTGGTAAGAGAAAACATTCGATTACACTTAAAGATCCGACTAGAAAATATAAGCTTAAATTAATTGATGTCGTAGAAATCAGTCATGATACGAAAAAATTTAGGTAAAATTTTTTTAAAAATTTTAAGAATTAAATTTATAAATGAATGTATATAAATTTAAAAAAATTTTTTAGATTTTCTCTTCCTAGTGAGAATGAGGTTTTGGGTTTACCAATTGGACAGCACATAACTCTGTCAGCTGTAATAAATGGTGAACTTGTTGTAAGAAGTTACACCCCAATTTCTAGCGATGATGATATAGGTTATGTTGATTTAATTGTAAAAGTAATTACCAGTATTAATTACATTTTAACGACATAATTTTTTTTTGTTAATATCATAATTTAAACATTTCATATTGATGAAAAATTTTCAATGATTGTTTTTTTTAAATAGATTTACAGAAAAAACACACATCCTAGATTTCCTCAAGGTGGTAAAATGAGTCAATATTTAGAAAGTTTGTCTCTCTTGGACACAATTGATGTAAGAGGACCATCTGGTAGATTACAATATTTAGGAAATGGAGAATTTTCTATTAAAAACCTCAGAAAAAGTCCACCTACAATTGTTAAAGTGAAATATGTGAACATGATTGCCGGTAAGGGGCTCAAAGGCTTGGCATCAATTCAATTATAACAACTGAAATTAAAATAGTCTGTTTTTAACTGAGATAAACTAAAAATAAATTAAAAAAATTTTTTTTTTATTGTTTTCACTGTTTCGACATCTGGTTTTAAAAAAAAATTTTTTTTTTTTTTTAAATCGTCAAACAAAAGATTTAATAACCCAACGATAAATCATTAAATTTTTTATTTTTTATTTTACCGCTATTAATTTCATTAAAAAATTTGTTTTTTTTGTTTTAGGTGGTACTGGTATCACACCCATGTTACAAATAATAAGACATATTTGTAAAGATTCAAATGATACTACTAAAGTGGCTCTTTTATTCGCTAATCAAACCGAAAGTGATATTTTGATGAGGAAAGAATTAGACGAAACAGCTGAAAATTTTCCCAATAAATTTAAATTATGGTACACAGTAGACACAGCAGGAGATGGTAAGTTTAAAAAACTAATTTATTTAAAAACTGATTTCATTGATAGAAATATAAAAAAAAAAAAAATTTTTTCCCTGTATTCCAGATTGGACTTACAGTACGGGATTCATCAATGCCGATATGATTTCTAATCATTTATATTCAGAAGTGAATGATACAATTGTATTAATGTGTGGTCCTCCACCCATGATTAAATTTGCATGCGAACCTAGTTTAGATTATTTGGGTGTTGATAAAGAATTAAGATTTGTTTTTTAAATAAGTACAATATTTTTCATTTCAACAAATTATTTATTTAATTTTTTTCTCTCTTTGTTTTTTCATTTACCGAAAAAAAAAAAAAAAACAAGAAAAATATTTTTAAATTTATCTTATATGACCTTCAATCTATCTATTATAAAATAGTTTTTATTTTTAATTTTGTACTTGAAACATGTTTTATTAAATTTGTTAATTTATTATTTTTGCCGGTTGTTTATTACAACAAAAAAAAACAATTTGTTTAAAATGCAAGAGAATGCATTGAATTTTTGTTTTATTTAAAAAAAACTTTTAATATTTTTTTATACTTAATAATTTTTATACAAAAAATTTATGAAACCAGATTAAATTCTTAATAATTTATTCTATATATTTTTTTATAAATAAATTAAAACGAGAGTAAGTAAAATATAAGTGAAACAAAAACATTAAATGATTTCATGTAAATAGTCGTATAAATGTTTGAAATTAAAACACATAAAATCATAAATTTTAAAACGAGTGAAGGCATTTATTAAAAAAAATAAAGAACATATTAGGATATAATATTTGAACTTCAATAATTGTATAAAACAAATTTTTATTACTTATATTTTTTTAATTAACATAGTCTTTTTATAAAAATAAAATTTACTTGATAAAAAAAATTAAATAAATTTTGTAAATGTACAAGTTGTTTAAGCGATAATCATCTTTCGAATGTAATTAATAAAAAGGAATGTATGAACACTAATCACTATAATACATTAAATGCAGCTCATATGTAAAAGCAAGCCATTGTACAAAAATAATCATTTTGCTTAAATTATTTTAATGCTTAAATAAAAAAAAAGAAAATTTGATTCAATTTTCAAAATAAGCTTCTTTTCTCATACTGAAAAGTTATGTGTATAATAATACTTGTTTAATAAGGTACATGAATGTGATTAATAAAATTGATCCTTTAATTGTTGAGGTTCCATTGCAACGATTATCGAAAAAACAAAAACACCATTCTGTTGAATCATAATAATCCCTTTTAACATCATATTCTTTTATTGAACTATTAACATAATGAGCTAATCTTGGATCATGAGCAGCAGGACGACATCCTTCATAATGATCAGCTGGTATGTCGGTACGAAAACTTAAAGAGCTAAGACAATCTCTTGTGATTATTTCAGTGCCTTAAAAGAGAAAAAAAAAAAAAAAGGTTTTAATATCATTTTTTTTTAATTTGTTTAAGAGATGAAAGAGAATTTTTTTAAATACCTCCTTTTCTTTCTGTTATTTTGACACATTTATCATTGTCTTCAGGACACTGATGTGACCAATACCAAAGCCAATTAAAAGGTGTGGCACAACCTGGATGAGTTGACACACATTTGTAGCAGTAAAGCTTGGTAAATGAATAACCTGAAAGTAATATTTACTTTTTGTAAGTGCAATACTTAAAAAAAAAAAAAAGAAAATGTTTTTAAATGAGATTGTTGTTCGTTATGTGAAATCTAACCCACAAACATAAACAATCCACGCCCCTTATTTTAATTTAAAATAAAATTACCTGCGACTGAGGTAAATGTTAAAAATACATAAAATAAAATAAGTTCTAACTTCATGATGATAAACTAATGTTAAATACTATAAATCTTTTATTGCATTAATCTAATATTTTCTATTAAAATTGAAATAATTTTTTATTGAATTTTTAAACGGTACAAAAAATGTATTTAATAAATACTGCAAAAATATTTATAAAAAATAACCGAATTGAAAAATAAAAAATTATTTTATAAAAGTATTAATAACTAAATAAAAATACAAAAATCACTATATGGACGGATTAGTTTCTGTTTGTTTTTTTTTTTTTTTTTTTGGATTATACGAAGAACGCCATGATACACCTGTTGATTCATACAACTACTTGAATACATTTCATTTCTATTTTAAAAATTAAAAATGAAAAAAATCACAGTGTACTTATTTTTTGTAAGATTTTTTGGGTTACAAAAGTTAATTAAAAAGACATTTTAAAAAATTATGTTTTATAATAAAAAATAGTTTTCAAAAATTAAAATAATTTTCGTACTCTGTGGTTCATAAGGGCTATTACTCTATGGTCATTCTTGATATTTTGTATTATATCGGTTAAGAGTTCGTTATAATATCTTTGATGTGAAATTAACGTAAACAATTAAAATATTATTTATATAAATTTATATAATTAGAATGGCATAATCTATAAAATTGCCTCTTTTACTCAAATAATAAAAGGGTTTAGATTATGTACTTTTTTAATTTAAACAGAATAATTTAAAACTTTTATTAAAAATGTGCTCGTCTAAAAGTAAGGCCTAATTTTTTTTTTTTTTTTTTTTGGTAAATTTTATTCTAATTAATAATTAAATTATGATTTTTCTTTTTTTTCTTAAAAAAAATTTGTGATAATGAAAGTGATTCTGATTCTTCAGATGACACCTATATCAGTATGACTGATTCCAGTAGTGAGATGGAAGATATTGTTAATGATACATCGAATCTAAATGAAGACCAGCATGTTAAAAGTGCTAAGACAGAAGGCAATCATTGTGAGGAGGACAGTGAAGAAGATGAATCAGAAGAAGAGAACTGGGAAGAAGGCAGAGAAATGGAAGATGATGAACTGATAAAAGCAATAAAAGCTGCTAAAGAAAAAAACAGAAAGCATCCTCCCGATTTAAATTTTGAAGATATAATTGTTGATATTTCTTTTCATCCTAGTGCTAACATAATTGCTGCTGGTTCAGTAGTTGGAGATGTTATTTTGTAAATTTTTAAAATTGTCATTATTGTTTTTTTTTTTTGTTTTAAATTTATTTAATTTCATACGATTAATTTTTTCTCAGTTATAAGTATTCAAATGAAGAAAATGAATTGTTGAGATCTGTAGAACTTCATGTAAGTTCTTGCAGAAATGTTGAATTTAGTGACGATGGATTAACTTTGTACTCTTGTGGAAAAGATAAAAGTATAATGATAACTGACAGTGAAACAGGAAAATTAAAAAAATTTTATGATGATGCTCATGAGTGAGTAAAAAAATCAAAATTTTAGAATCAGCATAAATTTAATGTTGGTTTTTCTAAAACAATTATACATTTTTCAGGGATCCATTATACTCTTTGTATGTCTTTGATACAAACATAATATGCACTGGAGATGAAGAAGGAACAGTTAAAGGTTTGAATCTTTTTTATTTTTTTTTTTTGACTATTGTTTCAATAAATTAATAATATTAAAAAAAATTTTTTTTATGTAGTTTGGGATATAAGAAGAAATAAACCAGTTATGTCATTTAAAAAAATGGAAGATTTTGTCAGTGACATGGTTACAAATGAAGCTAAAAAAGTATTAGTTTGCTCTAGTGGTGATGGAACAATAACTTCATTTAATATCTCTTCTAAGAAAATGCTTATACAGGTACTGATTGAAAGAACCATTTTTAAAAAAATTAAAATAAATGAAGTTAATAACAATAAAATTTTTTTGTGTTATTAATATTTTCAGAGCGAAGGATATGATTCAGAACTAAATTGCATGCAATTAATAAAACATGAAAGAAAATTGGTCACATGTTCATCCAAGGGGAAAATGTATTTGTTTAATTGGGGAGAATTTGGATATCACAGTGATGAGTATTTTGGTTTAAAAAATTCAATAAATTCAATGGTTGCCATTACAGAAAACATGGTTGTTCTCGGTTATGACGATGGAAATATCAGGTAAAAATTTAGTTTTTTTTATGACACAATAAATGATATATAATATTATAGATTTTTTCATTTTTTCATTTTATTAAAAATAATTCAAAAAATTTTCAGGGCAGTAAATTTTTTCCCACAAAAACAGTTGGGAGTTGTTGGACAGCATGATTTTTCAATTGAATCACTTGACATTTCTCACGATGGAGAATTTATTGCATCATCATCAATTGATCAAAAAGTTAAATTTTGGAATATCAGATATTTTGAGGATTTAATTGCTGAAGAAAAAAAAACAGACAAAAAAATTGATATGGAAAAAAATTTGCCTTCATCGAAAGTAAAAAACTTTTCTGATTTTTTTGGAGAAATGATGTCGTAAAAACATTACAAATGGTATATATACATATATGTATATTGAAATCGATATGAAGCTGGTTCTTCTAAATATATATATATATACATATTTAAAAATAGACAAAATATTTTGAGACTGATTGTAAATATTTAAAAAAAGAATATACTAATCATCATTTAATAATTTTTTATTTATTATTGCTTTTAATACAAAAATATGATTATACAACAGTAACAATATAATATTTACAATTACAAACTTTAATTTTGAATGAATTTTAAATGATAATTGTGAAATACATTAATTATCAGAAAATAAATATTTTAACATCTTTCAAATACTTTATATAAATCAGGTAGATTAGCTATTTCTAGAATTGTACCATCTTTCATAAATTTTTTAGGAGGTTGTAAGGATGAACGCATTTCAGACAGTAATACATGCTCAGTGGTCCACTTCCATTCATTAAAACCAGGTATTGGAACTTCTTCTGGGATTTTACAATAAAATTGTGATATTTCTCTACATATACCTTCCAAACATGGTTTTTCTAAATCCCAGTCAACTTCGCTACAAATTCTTACAACAAAGTCAGGAAGCAATGCTAAGTTAGGTATATATTTTTCCAATATAATCGGAAGAGTACAAATATTGCCTTCATTATCGATTTCGATTGAAAAATAATCTTCTAGCATATCTGATTTTTCACAAAGTAATGATGTCATATTATTTGAAATTTCATCTTTTGTTCCATCTGTTTCAGTCCATTTACCTTCATTTAATTCAAAATAAAATAAAACTAGTTCTTTGATAGATAGAGGATTTGAAAACCTTAATACCCCAAAATTAGCAAAATTTAAAAGCATTGTTTGGTATATTAATTCTTTGACAAGATTTTCTGTGTTACACAAATAAAGTTTGGTGTCATATTGCAACAGACATTGCTTTGTGTTGATAAAGCCAACGACTACAAAATTTTTAATGATGTTAGCCAAACCTGAATGTGATGCATTTTCAACATCTGCTTTTAATTGTAAAATGCTTCTTAATTTAATTTCTCTTTTTTCAATCGGTTTTGAATTTTGATTATTAACTACTTCAGAATCCGATTGAGTATCATTGGATTTTTCATGAAAAAATTTGTCCAACTTTTGATCAAGGCAATCTGTTCTCACAGTTTTATGTGCATATATTTTTGACGAATCAGATTCTTCCACTTTGGCATCAAGAGATTTACCTCCTATGGCAGCAGGTAATTTAGATTGAGTGTAAAATATTCTAGAAGTATTTGATCCCAATAAAGTTTTTTCAAATATTGCTTTAATTTTATTAACAATGTTTTCTTCGTGTAAAAAGTGAACTTCATGCTTGGTAGGATGTACATTTACATCAATATTTTCAGGGCATATAGTCAAACTTAAATAAACAAATGGATAATTGTTTTTAGGCAGATAAATTGAATAAACCTGCTCAATAATTGATTTAAGAGAAGAAGAATTAACTAATCTGTCATTTATAAACAATAAAAAAGTGAATTTCTTATTCGAATAATTAACATTGGTTATTTGACCCTGAACCTGAAATTTCAAAGTATCATCTGAATCTTTAACTTCTAAAAGTTCTTTAGCTATTGAAGCTCCATATATAAGTCTGATATTATCAACTGAAGTTGAATTTTGTGGTGTGTTTACGTCAGATAATGTTTCTTTGTGTTTTTTTAATGAAAATGCAATTTTTGAGTTATGAATTGCATACTTTCTAACAACATCTAAAACTTTACTATATTCTTCAGCAGGACTTTTCAAAGCATTTTTCCGAGTGGGAACATTATAAAATAATTCTTCAACAATGATTTGTGTACCTTTTTCAACGGCACAAGGTTTTGGAGGGTTTTTTAATTTACTGTCAACATAAGAAGCTTTATAACCACACTGATTGTCGGCAGTTTTGGTTACTATAGTGAGATGAGCAACATGTGAAATACTGGCCAAAGCTTCTCCTCGAAAACCGTAAGTTGATATTTTAGTTAAATCTTCAAATTTTGATAGTTTACTTGTCGTAAAACGTTCGCAAACAATATCTAAATCTTCTTTACGAATACCGGTTCCGTTATCACTGATTTGAAGTAATTTTAAACCACCATCTTTTACGGTTATTTGTATTTTACTCGATTTAGCATCAATGCTGTTTTCAATTAATTCTTTAAGAGCGTTATACGGTCTTTGAATAACTTCTCCAGCAGCAATTCTATTAATAACAGCTTCATCAAGTTTTTTTATTGAAGGTGCTACACTCATTTTAAACTTTTTTTTTTTTTTTTTTTTTTTTTTTTTTTGGCACCTTGAGTAACTGACATTGAAAGTCTTAAGTCAAAAATCAGTTTAACCAACTGTTGCTTACAAGAGATTTTCAATTCATGGATAAAAGAAAAAAAAAAGTTTTAAAAATGTTTATTGATTTTTATTGTTATTTATTTTATTAATATGTAGTGGATTAGTTACTTAAAAATGGCTTCAATAATTAAAAATCAAATATTGAAGCATTTGTCTAAGTATGCTTATATCGTGATAAGTCATTAAAATTTTTATTTCTTTTATGAATAAGCAATATTTATCTAATCAATTAAAAAAAAAAAAAAAGATATTCATTGGTTGCAACCTAGAAATTTTTTATTAAAAAAAGCCATTGATTAAAAAAATTATGTTAAAATTATTTATTATGACTTAATTATGTAATCCTCTTTTTTTTTTAAAAAAAAAAAAATTTAGTCTTAACCGATCGATTTATCGCTTTTTTAAAACCAGGCGTTAAATATACATTTTCCATATGTTTAATTCTTATAATAATGCCATATATAAAATTTACTCAAAAAAAAATTATGATGGAGTTCATGACAATAAAGCTTAACATTTTATATTCATACTGCAATGTAATTAATTATTGTCATTAAACAATATCCCTAAATAAATTTTTTAATTGTTTTCAGATTTACCAAAGGTTTATCTACGGATAAAATTAATTTAAGTACTTTTAAAGGGGAAGGAGAATTATCGGAATTAGAATTAGATGAAAATATTTTGACTGATCTATTAGAGTTGCCATCATGGCTAAGAATTACAAGTGCTCGCTGTGATCAAGTGTACTTTAGGGTACAATGGACTCAATTAAAATCAGTCCCAATTCATTTGGTAAGGGTCATTTTTAAATTTAAATTTAATTAAATGCATTGTTAAACTTTACTTTACGATAGTACTTTTTTTTTAATCAAAAAAGCTAAATTATAGCTAAATTCTTTTTGTAATTTTTAAAAAACTTGTATAATTTTTTTCTTGTATTAATCTTTTTAGAGTTTAAATGAAGTTGTTGTAAAAGTAGAAACATGTGAAGAATTAAGATCTACCAGTTGTGTTCAAGGATTGTCTTCTTATGCTGGAGCTTATATGAAATATGGTTTTATACATAAAGTTATAGATGGTGTTACAGTTACTATAAATAGTGTTAAAATAACTTTTACTAGTCCTGCATTTATAGCTAAAGTTGATGTAAGTTAATTTTTATAAAATTTAATTTAATTTGTTTGTTTTTTTTTGAAAATTTATTTTTCATCATCACGTTTGCTTTTTAGCTTTCAAGAATTATAGTTCAGTCTAAATCTAAAGACTGGGAAAATTGCAAATTGCAAGCATCGAGAATAAAAAATACAACTAAAGGTCAAATTTTACTTTTTAAAGAAGTAGAATGGAATGATGCAAGAATAGAAGCAAAATCAACTAAAGATCCTAATCTGACACCTTTGAGACTGATAACAAACAAGGCCAGGTGTAGGATCACATTGAAAAAGAGTTTACTCGGTAAGTAAATCCTTAATTAACTGTTTACATTATTTTGTAGTTTTTGCCATTTGTAATTGTTGCATTGTTAAATACTTGAATAAAGTAGAGATAAGCATTAAAAAAAAAATTTTTTTTTTAATTTTTTAAAAATTAAAATCTGGTTTTTATTTGTTTTTTTCAGATTCTTCGATAATTGGATCTCGTTTAGCAATTATTTTAGATGATTTGTTATGGGTTTTAACTGATTTTCAATTAAAAGCAGCCTTGCATTTTATTGATTCATTATCCGGTTTGGTTCAAAAAGCTACTGAAATAACGAGAAAGAAAAAAGCAGCAAGGAAATTGGAGGTGAAATTATTTTCAAAATTTAATTCTTTTACAAAAGCACAAATATTATTATTATTATTATTATTATTACTTTTTTGTCTTAGACTCTACCGGAATACCAAGCCCAACAATCTCAAGCGACAAGGAATAAAGATGTTACTTCACCATTGACAAAAACATTTGATGAATATGACGTCATAGAAACAAGTTATCATTTTCAGGCTCAGAAAATTGATTTGCATTTTTCTGACGATCCCGGCCGTAAGTCTAAATAAAAAAAAAAAAAAATAATTTTGTAAGATACATATTTCGCTAAATGCCTGAGTTAATTTAATTAGATTTTATTTATTTTTAGCGGGTAGGTCGTGTCATCCAGAATTAAAATCCGGTGGAGCTTTTATGATAAGTTTGAAAAAATTCAGAGTGGATTATTATCCTTATCATCTTGCAATTGCAACAAGAGATCATTGGGTCACATACAATCCGACAGAAACGCCTCACACTCAATGGCTCATGGATGCTCAAAAATCATTTATTAATTCATTGGTGACTGTGATTGAAAATTCAGAAACTTTATCAAATACCGTTTTAGAGAGTAACGTTAATCAGCTCAATAACGAAGTAAGGAATTCATCATCATTTTTTAATAGATATAAAATTGAATAAATAATTATAGGAGAATTTTTTATTTTTAAATTTGATCAAACCTCCTTTTTTTTTTTCAGAAATCCAAAGTTACCAATCGCGAAAATAATTCAGTAGGAGGTGAAATATCAAAACAAATAAAAAAATTAATGACCTCTTGTTTGATATTGAGAATAACGGATTTTAACATGCAACAAGTCATTCCTTCTGGAACGAAAAAACACGTTTCAAAAGATTTTATATCAGGTAATCATCATTCCATAAGACACTTTTTTTTTTTTTTTTTTTTATTAAAGTTCTATGTGTTTTTTTTAATTTTTAAAAAATTTTTTCTATTTTTGTGATGTGAAATGTTTGAGAAGATGAAGAAAAGATGCACAAAAATTTTTTAAATAAATTTCAAATGTTTTTTTTTTTTTTTTTTTTTTAACTTTTACTTACGTAGTATTGCTTTATCACTATAAAAAAAAATTAACTATAATAATAAAATTTTTTATGATTTATATTTTAATATTTTTTGATGTTCACTTTTTTAAAAGCAGCAATTTTACTTTAAATTGGGACTTTTAATTTTTTATTAGTCCAACGGAGAAGAAAAGGAAATGTTCAAGGTACAATAATAAAATAAAAATTAAAATAATTAATATTTATTTGTAGCCGTTTACCCACCCACCCCTTTGTTAACATCAACAATTTTATTGTTTAATCCAAAATTTAGCTGCAAAATCTAGTAAATGATGACAAAAAAAAAAAAAAAAAAAAGTTTTTAATTTTTTGTCAAATCATTTTTAAAAAAAATGGTAGATTTGTTTTGAAAAAAAATTTAATTATGAGAAGGAGGAGGTACGCTAACATAAATTTTTTTTTTTTTTTTTCAAATTTAGGTGATAAAGACAGGTTTGGATTTCCGGAGTCGCAAACAGTCGTTCATGCGGAATTTACTTATTATTATTATCCCGGTGACGATCCATTTCCGCGTAAGTTTTTTTTCTTCTTCTGCTTTTCCTCATTTCAACGGTTTTAATCGTTTTTTTTTTTGTTTTTTTACAGTTCCCGCTCCGAAATTCTATGCTCAATTCAATCCTATACAAATTTATTTTGACGTCATCAGTATATTATGGGTGAATGCTTTTGCTCTGAACCTGTATCAGTCGTTGTTGCAAACAAATACAAGTCAAAATACTTCCACAAACGATATCATGTATTTTGATGTTAAAATAGAAGCAATTTTACTAAGGGTAAAAAAATTACAAAAGTTTTTTTTCTTTGTTCTCGGACTTACTGAAATTTTTCTTTTGTTAAAGATAATCATGGAAAGTCCCATCGATTATCCGGGTCAAAAAGATCGTCCGAAATCATTGCATTTTGTAGTTCCTCGAGCTACTGTTACCAACGTGCGAAGCGATAAGCAAAGTTCTCGTTACGATTTAAAAAAATGCGTTGATTTATTAAAAATGTGCTCATTATTTTTTGCTAACGATTTCCCCTCGTCCGAAACGGATTATCCCTTGGTATCGCAAAAATTTTTAAATCATTTGTCTTGTAAGTACCTCATGCTACTTACTTATTTGTAAGGGTACGACGAAAATGATAATAATGATGATGATAATTTTTTTTTCTCGTTTTCAAAAGCTTCCGACAATGTTCGTCCTCATCCGTCTCAATTTAATACTGCCGATAGCTCAAATTTAAAAACTCATTTTAATCAGGAAATGTTGTGGACTGAAGCAAAAGATATCTGGTGCATACACCTCGAACCGATTTTCGGTGAATTTTTCGGTGCACGAGCCGTTGGAAAAGATTCAGCAATAACATTTATGGATGCTTTTCATTTGACTTTTTGGGCACGTGAAAAAAAAAATTAAAAATTTTCGATTTGATTTTGTTTGAAGTCGACAATTTTATTTTTTTTCTTCCTTTTTTGTAGATTTACATGAAAATGCCAAACGCAGACGATTTAACTGCTGACGACGATAGTGCAGATATTCATATTTTAACTCACGTGACAAATCTTGTTTCCCTTCAACTAAATCATTATCAATATTTATTCCTTCTGAGGTTGTTCGAAGAAGCCAAAGAAGTGGCAACGTATTTAGGAATCGATTCCGATCGTATCGTTAGGGTAATAAAATAAAAAAAAATTTAATTTTAAGTTAATGTCAACTTGTAATTTAAAAGGTTTATCATTTTCATTTTATTTTTTTTCCAGTCGCCGGGAGCTTCTATGGTTGTGGGAGGAGTGATACCTGATTTAGAAATCACTTTTGTTATGCCTTCTCAGTCGCCGGGTAAAGAATCATCTGGCGGCGATATCGAAAGCGTGATTCCAGATTCTTCAAGTTTACAAGAAGATGGTACTTTACGTTGGCAATCGACTGGAAGTGCTGGAAACGTTAACATTAATATTTTGGTACTTAAAAGGAAAGGTTAAGAATCTTTAGTATCGCGAACATGTATTAAATTTTCCCACAATTAAATTTACAGGATAGAAGTCAAACGTCTTTTAGCGATTGTTCCATCAACGTCGATAACACCGTAACGGATTTTATGCTTCGTAAGAAAAATTTAAATGAAAACGTTCGACCTGTTTCTTCGTCTCACGTCGGAGGAAAGCCGGCCAATTTGAATGGTTTCATTCAATCGGAATCTCATTCATTCGATTTGAACGTTCCGGTAAAATTACGTTTGAAACAAAAAAAAAAAAAAATGCAACGGTGTGTAAACGACCAATCATCAAAATTTTAAAAAATTTTACCTTTTTTTTTTTTTGTGTAATTTAGCCGCCATCTTTGTCTGCCACGAAAAAGGGTATTGAAAAAATGATGACGTTGATTGGAATCGAAACGAAAACGAGTCCCGATGAAAGATACGATGAAGTTTCCGTTACGAGCGATGTGAGCTCCGATGGTGAAAATTTTTCCGTGAGTTTTCTTTTTTTTTTTTGAGTTTGAGAAGAAGAAGAAAAAAAAAAGTAATAAAAATAAAAATTTAATATTTTTTTCCTCGTTTAGCTGAATAACAATTGCATCGGAGGAACATTTGAAAAAATAAAAGGTGGAGTAGAATCATTATTTTACGTCAACTCGTCGGATTATCAAATGCAACAACAGATTCAATCCATCGAAATCGGAACGGAAGTTATTGAAGAAGAAAGCACTCTGACGTCATCAAGCGAAAAAGATTCTTCGACGGGAGGAGGTTACAAACGTCGCGATTTGGTAACAATTATTTTTTTTGATTTCGGAATGAAAAATTCGGGACACATTAATATTAATTAGGGAAAATATTTTTCAGATATCAATATCGACATTTAAAATTCACAAAACGGAATTTCAACAGCAATCAAAGAATATGTCTTCCAGAGTGAAAATTCAAATATCAGATGTATCCGTTGAAGATTGTTCTTCTATACCGTGGGACGAATTTCAAGTTGGTTAAAGCAATAAAATGGCCCCCTTTTTTTTTTTTTTTTTTTTTTTTTAAATAAATTCAACAGAAATGATTTTGCAATTTTTTTTTTTTTTTCGTAGACGAAATTCAGCTCGAGAACGAAAAATTGGTCGGCCGTTTCATTGGACGCATCAATTTTTCCAAAAATAAAAATAAAATTAGATCATTTTTTAAAATCGAATTCAAAATGTTTTCGCGAGAATTCGATCGTCGAACCCTCTCTCATATTGAAAAATTTCGAAGATAAAATAACCGTTAAAGTAGATTCGATCAATTTGAATTTGAATGCGTCCACTTTGGCGGGATTGGTGGATTTGCTGGAAGAGGAAATGCCGGCTCCTCCATTTCCGGTGACCGTACGTTTTGTTTATGGTGCTTAAAAAAAGATTCATTCATTGGCTAGACACGCGTGTGAAAAAATCACGATCGATTTTTAATTTCAGGTTTATTTGGAGGATACTAAAATACACATAATTAACGATAGGCCGCCGTGTAACATAACGTCACCGGAACCCCTTCCCATCGATTTATCGTTATCGAAATTGACGATAAATCGAGCGGAATCCGGTCTCATTCAAATTCTACCGTGTAAAAATTTCGAATCGGAAAAAACGTAAATAAAAAATAAATTTGATTAAATTTTCGAAATCGACTCAGGTTAGGTTCGTTAATCGAATCCATTTTTTTTTTAGGCAAAATTCTGAGGTTAATACGGAAACGCAAACGCAAAACGGTTCGCGTTTGCTGTTGGAAAATGAAGAACTGAGACGACGATTAAGCGCTTTGGAAGGATTAACCGAAGAAAATTATCGTTTGATGGTGAAAAGTCAACAAGATGCCGAGGCAAGTAGTGGTAGTAGTGGTAGTAAAATCCATAAAAATGAAAACAATCATTCATTCATTCATTCATTCATTCATTGACGATGAGTAATTATTTAAATTTTTGGTTTTAATCCAACAGAAAACTCGTTCGGAATTGAGGGAGGCATTAAACGACATTGATTTGTTGTTGCAAAATAAGAAAAATTTATTGGACAAGATAGCGGAATTGGAAAATCAGTGCCATCAATTGGAAAAGAATTCTAAAAGATAGCACCAATGTTGTTATTCGTGCCAAAGATGTTGTCATACTTCACCAACGACTTAGTCTGGAAGAAAACTGGAGAAAACTGGAGAAAAAGAAAGAAATGGATTATTCGATTGCTGCACTTTACTTGGCAAAAAGGGAATATTTTGGGCATTCGAATAGTTTAAACTTTTCTTAGCTATTATTATTATTATTATTATTAGTATTAGTAGTCGAGTAGTTGAAAAATTATTTAAATAATAATAATAATAATAATAATATTAATAATACTAATGTTAATACTTATCGTTGTTTTCGAAGATAAAGAGAGAGAGAGAGAGAGAATTGCGTCAAATTTATTTATCTCACATACTTATACATAAATAAATAAATAAATAAATATTTATTAAAATTAATTAGGTTAGTGTCAGTTAATAACACACGTGTGTAAATAATAATAATAATACGTTTGCTCGTTCGCGTTTATTTAAAAAAAAAATTTTATATTTATAAAAAATATTAATGATAATATATATATTTGTATGTATATATGCGAATAGATAGATAGATAGATGGCTGGTGGTAGACAGGTAGATAGATAGATAGGTAGATGCACGCAATCATATAAATTTTTTTTTTTTGTAGGTATTTAATAATTTAAAAATAAAATTGAAATTAACTTTTTTTTGCTTCTTTGTTATAACAAACGTCGTCGCCTTTTAAACAAAAAAAAATTGAAAATGTTTAAAAAATTTAAATTTTATCGAAAGTTTAAAAAAAATGCTTTTTTTAAAATTATATATAATTTTAAATAAAATTAATAAATTTTATTTATTTCTTATTAATATTCTTTTTATTTTCTTTTTGTTCGTTTGTTTTTTTACATGAGTGAATGAGCTACGGAATCGGTGAATGATTGATTGATTGATTGAATGAATGAAACGGTTAAAGGGAAAACGTAAACTTATCAGGTTTTTAATATTAACAGGCTCGAGAAAATTTAATAAATATAATTATTATTATTATTACCATTTGAGTTTCTATTTTAATAATGATGATAACAAGAAATAATAATAATAATTTATTTTTAAATCTTGTAAATATTTTAACCTGATTATTATTGAAACATACAAACAGAAAAATTGTTTGTTTGTCGTTGTTCGTTTTTGAAGATAAAAAATTTAAATCCATCTTTTTTTTTTTTTTTTGGAAAAAAACCGTTGATGTTAATAATAATAATAATAATAATAGTGATTTATATTATTATGTTTTTAATTTATTATTTATTTTTTTATATTTTATTATTATTATCATTATTATTAGTTTATTTATTGATTTTATTTATCAATTTTGTTATATATATTTATTTTTTAATTAAAAATAATTAATTTTAAAATTTTATTTATTTATTTTTTCGATGGAGTTTTAATAAAATTACAAATTAGTATAATTAATTAGTTTTATTAAGATGCTATTTTCCGGTTGATGATGAAGAAGAAGAAGAAGAAGCTTTGGCTGCTGCTGCTGCTTGTGCTGCTTTTTTCGCTTTAACCATTTCTGCTAATTCTTTATATCTTCTCATGCAGTCTTTTTTCGATCTGCCCGGAATGCATTTGGCTATTTCGTCCCATCTATCCGGAGTTGTCGGACCGTAAGTTCTGAAAATAATAATAATAATAATAATAACATAAGAGTCATCGACTTGGAAAAAAAAAGAAAATTCGTTTGTCGTTTTGTTTTGTTCGAACCTCAAAGCTTGTTCTAATAATGTTTGTTCGTTTGCAGTCCATGGAGTCAGACCTTGTAATTCGGCAGGTGTATCGAATCTTTCTGTTGTTTTTGACACGTCACCAACAGCTTCTAAACTTTTTGCAACTTTTTTACCCTTTTCGAAATTGTCAAACGCTTTCTTATTCGCCGTTTCTTTTAATACGTTCTTTGTAAAATCGTTGTTTTGCAAATCTTTGGCTTTGGCCAAAACTTCTTTGGCGGTGAATTCGACATTATTCGAACAGTGTTGATTAATAAATTTAGCAACGACTTCCCACCTTTGATTCGTTCCTGCCGGAAACAAATTAACTGCTTTTATCAACAGTTGTAAACTTTCTATAGACCATTCTTTTTTGCTGCTATTGCTGCTGTCATTTTTATCGCTCCCTGAATATGCTTTTATGTGAGCAGATCTTTCTTCTTCTAATTTTTTTTCAATTTCTTTTATCGATTGTACAAGAGCATCTCTACCCTTTTCTTGAATTTCAGAAATCACTGCTGTCAATTCAGAGAGTTGAAACGTTTCGCAAATTTTTTCTACACCCGTCATATGTGCTACTAATTCGGAATTATCATTTATGTAATAATTATTCGTTTTACACATATCTCTCAATGTTTTCCTTTTCTGTTTCATTTGTCTTTTCAATGCTTCTCGTTCTTGTTTGAGAGCCTCTTCTTTTGCCTTTTTTTCAGCTTCTGCTTCTTCCTTTTCCCTTCTACTTTTCTCGGCCGCTTCTCTCTGTATTCTTTCCTCTTCTTCTTGTTTCGCTTTTAATGCTTCTTGCTTTGCTCTCTTTGATGCTAATTTTTTTTCCTTTTCTTCTTGTTTAAATTTCATTATTCTAGGATCTAATTCATAAGCTGTATCAACCAAAGATCTTATTCTTGACATTTCTTCTTTTTTTAATTTAGCTCTAGCTGCTTTGTTTTGCTTATCTATATATCTTCTCTCTAATCTATCTTGTCCTTTTTCTTTTTCATCTTCGTCTAAATATGAGTATTCTCTCCACGATTCAAAATTATACCAAAATGAATAAAATTTTTCTACTTGTTCTCTAGGTAAATTCATTCCTCCTAATTTTGGCACAGGTGTTTTTTCAGACCACCTAGCATTTCTTTCGAATACAGGTGTAAAAACTTCAAAAAAATTATTTCTCGAGTGCTCATTATTGGAAGGAATGCTGTTATCAAATAAAGGATCAACAGAATCGTAAGATCTTCTTTTATCTTTATTACCAAGGATTTCCCAAGCTTTACTAATACAAGTAAAATAATCATCGCTAGGTTTTACTTCCTCTCCGGCTGCTTTTCTTTTGTCAGGGTGATGTTTCAATACTTTTGCGTGATATGCTCTTTTTATATCATCATCTGTTGCTTTAAAACGAAGCCATTTCATACCTAAAACAGCATAGTGATCTTGATTTTTCCAATCTTTAGGATCTAGACTTCTAAGAAAAGACACATCATCATCGAAAACAACGTGTTCGGTATTTTCAATATCTTCGTTTATTTCTTCGTTGGTGTCATCAAATTCAGAGTGCCCTTGCAACCGTTTGTAATATTTTAAAAAGTGTGGCCCTATACATTGTACTTTACGAGTACTTAAATTAGATACTTGAACTATGTTATTTTCCATTTCCCTCTGCTCCACCATTATTTAAAATAACAAATTTAACTAAATTGTGTGTGTGTTTTTTTTTTTTTATAGAAGCAGTGTCAGTATTATATTCTTAACATTTTTAATTACGAAATACGGTTACAAAATATTTTAACCTAACTTTGTCACAGATCAAATTTTGAAAAACGTCAAGTGCTTCTAAAGCCACGATAAAAAAAAAATTTTTTAATTTTTGACTTCTGCTTGTAGTTTATTCATAAACCAACAATTTTAAATTAATAATAGAAACTTTTATTTTGTATTTTTTTATTTATTTATTTTTATTAAAAATTTTTCATTAAAATACTTTGTTAAAATTTTTATTTTTATTTATATAACTTACTGTAATTAATAAAGTAAATTAAAGTAAATTTTATGAAAAGTTTCAGTGATAAATATTAAAGAAAATAATTTTTTATTGCACAAATTATCTTATAAAAAAAATTTTTTTGGGGGCGTTTATAGGCTTTTTTATTGTTAAGATCTGGAGTTTTTATTGCAAATTAAAATTTTAAATATTAGGTAAAGAGATTTATTTGTTTTGATCTGTTGCCAATTAAAATTCAATAGATTTTTTAAACAATTTACTTAATTTCACCGAAAAAGTTTAGATTTGAAATTTATTTCTGATTGAAAAAATTTTTTTAAATTCTGTTTATTAAAATTTAATTTAAGCTTTTTTTTTATTTTTAGAATTACAGACTAAATCAAATAAATCAATTAATAAATTTTTATTTATTTATCTAAAACTTGTAATTAAGTTCTTTAAAAATAGCTCGAAGAAAAGTTTACAATGGATTGTGCTTCAAAATGGGTAGACACTGGATGGGTCCGTTTATTCTCGGAGCTATTATTGCTTCAATACTTTTGTTTTTTAGTTTGAGAATAGAACAAAAAGGTATTTAATTTTATTCAGTTAACAATATTTTTTATTTATTTTTCAAAATATTTTATTTTTATTTCACTATGATAATTAATTTGTTCACTTTTTTTTTTTTTTTTTTAAAAAGTTTCAGGTGATAATATGCTTGGATTTAATGTTAGAGAAGCTCAACTGGCAGGAAGAGTCAGAGAAATGGAAGAGCAAAATTATTTGCTTAGGCATCAATTAAGTTTAAGTCAAGGCCAATTAGTTCAAGCAATGAAACAAGCTGTTGTCAATAATACTACAGAATCTCCAATTCATAAATGCACTAAGGTATAATCATAAAATAATATGTGTTTATTTTTTAAATAATTTTTTTAAATAATTTTTTTATTTTATTTTTTTTATTTTACTTTTAGGAAGCTGAAATTTCAAAATGTGAAATTATTCATGTGGCCATCGTTTGTGCAGGTTACAATGCTTCACGCTCTGTCGTCACTTTAATCAAGTCCATTTTGTTTTACACTAGGAATCCTCTTCAGTTGCATTTTATTGCCGATTCAGTTGCTTGGCATATTTTAGAAACTTTATTTAAAACCTGGAGTGTACCACAAGGTACATATTTTCCAAGTATCAAAAGATATTAAAGCTTTAATGAAAAAAAAATTAACTTTTATTTTTTTCAGTTGATGTTCGATTTTATCCTGCTGAAAATGTAGTTCCCGATGTTTCATGGATTCCAAATAAGCATTATTCAGGAGTTTATGGTTTAATGAAATTAACACTACCAAAAATATTACCCAGAAATTTAACTAAGGTAGTTGTACTTGACACAGATGTTACATTTGCAACTGACATTGCAGAGCTTTGGAAACTCATGACAAAAATGTCGGACAAACAAGCATTTGGTTTGGTAGAAAATCAAAGCGATTGGTATTTGGGTAAACTTTGGAAAAATCACAAGCCGTGGCCAGCTTTAGGAAGAGGGTGAGACATTTTTTTTTTTTTTTAAAGATTTGTAAACAGTAGTTTATCGATGAAACAAACTATATTTTTTTTGTTTTAGATACAACACAGGCGTGATTTTGCTTCAAATGAAACGTTTAAGACGTTTAAAATGGGCTCACCTGTGGCGTTTCATAGCCGAAAAAGACTTAGTTACCATGTATTCGACTAGTTTAGCCGATCAAGATATATTAAATGCCATTATTAAGCAATATCCCGAACTTGTTTATAAATTGCCTTGTCAATGGAATGTTCAATTGAGTGATAACACTCGGAGCGAACTATGTTACACCGAAGTCACCGATTTGAAAGTAATCACCTTAATTTCTTCCTTCGCACTACAATTTATCAGTTTATGAAATAATTTTTAATTTAAAAATTTTTTCCAGGTCATACATTGGAATTCGCCAAAAAAATTAAAAGTTCAAAATAAACACGTTGAATTTTTCAGAAATCTTTATTTGACTTTTCTCGAATACGATGGTAATTTGTTGCGTCGAGAACTTTTCGGTTGTAACATATCGAGACCGTCGGTTCCGCAACAAGAATTGAGAAAGTTAAACGAAGAAGATCAATGTTACGATTTTCGTCGTGCTCGAATTTCCCGATTAAGAACTCATTTGTATTTTTTGGATTACGATTACGAGCCTTCGACGGACGGAGCCGACGTCACTCTCGTTGCTCAGTTATCAATGGACCGACTCCAAATGGTTGAAAATCTTTTGAAACATTGGGAAGGTCCCATTAGCCTTACGTTGTACATGTCGGATGCTGAGGCACAGCAATTTCTAAGTTACGCTCTTAGTTCTGAAATTCTTAGCAGTAGGAAAAATATCGGATATCACATCGTTTATAAAGAAGGAGTAAATATACAAACATATAAATCCGTGTAGTTTCACGTTAATAATGATAATAACAAAAAAAAAAATGTTTTCTTTGTTTTTTAGAATTTTTATCCGGTGAATTTGTTGAGAAACGTTGCATTACAACAAGTTAAAACGCCTTTTGTGTTTTTAACCGACATTGATTTCCTTCCAATGTTTGGATTATACGAATACCTTAAAACTTGCGTGCAATTATTAAATTTAGAAAATTCAAATAAGGTACGAAATAAATTAAAATAAACTCTTAACAGTTTGGAAGGAAAAAATGTTTCTTATCGAAATATTTCGTTTCAAAATGTCATTAAAAAAAATTTTTTTTTTTAACATTTCTCAAGTTTACGTCGTATTTTGATCTTTTTTTGTACAAAAAAAAAAAATTTTAATCTCTTTAAAGGCTTTGGTGGTTCCTGCATTTGAAACACAACGGTATCGAATTACATTTCCTCGTAGTAAAGCCGATCTCCTTCGTATGCTAGATATGGGTTCCTTATTCACATTCAGATACGACGTTTGGCCAAAAGGTCATGCCCCGACAAATTATACAAAATGGAGAACGGCAACGAGTCCCTACGAAGTAAGTTACTACGAAATTTATTTTATTAATATAAATAAAAATTTTCACACAGAGAGAGAGAGAGAGAGAGAAACGTAATAAAATTTTTATTTTTTTTATTTTGAAAAAAAAAAGGTCTCTTGGGAACCAGATTACGAGCCTTACATTGTGGTAAAAAAAGATATTCCTCTCTACGACACACGTTTCGTAGGTTTCGGATGGAATAAGGTGGCACACATAATGGAACTCGAGGCCAAAGGTTACGAATTTGTAGTTTTACCAAATCCATTCATCGTTCACATGCCTCACGCTCCATCTTTCGACATAGCAAAATTTCGAAGTTCGGCCGTTTACAGAAAGTAAAATAACAAAAATCGTATTTTAAAAGATTTTTTTTTTTTTTTTTGTTCAAAAGATTTATTAGAATTCGAAAATTTTTTTTTTTTTTTTCAGATGCTTGGAAATATTAAAAGAAGAATTCACAAGGGATTTGAAAAAAAAATACAACAGAGTTTTTGCTGTCGGAAAAAAAGAATCAGCGGAAAACAATTTCTGATCCGTTCGGCGGGCGCCGACCGATTTGTACTTTTTTTAAAAAAACAAACAAACAAACAACAACAACAACAACTCGAATCGTTTTTTTTTACGTTACTTTACTTTACTTTGAGGTTAAAATGTTGTTGAATCGTAAAGTAAAAAATTATTGTTTGGAAAAGTTCAAATCAAGTCGCTTCGCTCGCCGAATAAAAAAAAAAAAATTTTTTTAACGACACGTTACGTTACGTCACTACTTTGTTATTTTATTATTTTTAACATTTTCAACTTGGGGAGGGGAGGGGAGGGAAAGGAAGAAAAAAGGTTTTTCTTTTTTCCCCCTTTTTTTTTTTTACAATGACTGATAGTTTATTATTCGTATCAAGTGCAGTAAATTTTGCAATATATTTAGTCAATATTTTAAAACACATACACACACACACGTGAACTCACACGTGTTTATAAATATGTAAACGTCACACAGTAGTTTTTTATTATATGATAATAAAAGAAAAAAATTTTACAAAATAATTACGAGGGTGATAATTAATAAGGTAGCGCCATGCATTTCTAGTCAGTAATAAATATGCCGAAATTTTTCTCATCGTCATCATCATTATCATTATTATTATTTTTATTTAAAACGACTGATTTGTATTAATTTTTTTTTTTTTATAATTTGCAATGCATTTCTTACTCAAAGGTGGAGAAGAAAGAAAAAAGAAAAAAAGAACGAAAATACTCATTAAAATTTTTCATTAAAATTTTTTTGCAATAATTTTTTGCATTTTTCTCTTATTTTGTTAAGTTTTTTCTGTTTTTTTTTTTTTTTTTTTAAATAAATTTATATTTTTTGTTATTATTTTTATGTATTTAAATAGTAGTAATAATAATAATAATAAATGCAAAAAAGTTTTTTTTATATCAACGACATTTTTTATTTTTTATTTCTATTATTAATTTTTATTTAAATATATACATACATATAATAAAATATATTTTAATGAAATTTTTTTTTTAATACAACTTGTTGTAGTTTTAGGTATTATTATTATTATCATTATTATTATTATTATTATTATTATTATTATTATTATTATTATTATTATTATTATTATTATTAATTAATAAAAAGTAGTTGAAAGTTTTTTTTTTTTTTTTTAAATATACATATATATTTAAGAATTTAAATAAGCAATTGAAAAAATAATAATTTAGTGCAGTTTATTTTAAATTTAAATGTTATTGTAATATTAAATTTTTATTAAATGTTTTCTATAATCTTCAAACGTATATATTTATTTATCATCATCATCGTATTTAATAATAATAAGAAAAAAAGGAAAATTTCCTTTGAAGTTTTTTGACATTTAATGTTTTTTTTTGAAACGGTTGCTCGGTGATTATTATTATTATTTCATTAAAAGTTTCTTATTGAAAATGTCTCTTTTAAATAATGTGACACGTATCATTTCCGGTTTCAATATGGCGGCGGTTTTTATTTTGAAATTTTGTGTATTTCAACCTTTTTTCTGTTTCTTTGCCTCTCTGTTGTTTTTTGCCCCAAGTACGGATACTTGCATACCTGAAGTACCTGCTTCTCCTTAATTTACATCATTTTTGTGCATCTAAAAACGACATCCTGTTTGTTGGCGGTTGTTACTTTTTTCTACAGATTTTCAAATGGTCCAAATGATACTTATTGCCACTATCAGACATTTTTTAATTAAATAATCAACAATTTCCGTTTTTTTAACATTTTTAAGGTTTACCAATTTCCTCTTTATAATACCTTAATACATCTCCAAACTCTTTCTTTGTATTGTTCAAATTTACTTACCTTAAAATTTTTCCAAATACCTTCTTCAATTTAACAATCCTCCATTTTATTTTTTATAACAACATTTATCTCTTTTAAAAAAAATTTTAAATTTTATTATTATTATTATTTTTTTTTTTTATTTTCCAATTCATTTTCAATTAAATCTTTATAAGATTTTTTTTTTTTTTTAAATTTTCTAATTTCAAAAATTCAATTTTTATTCCCTTTTCTCCCTCATTAATCCTTTTCATCCATTTTTATAATAATAATAATTATTACATTTCTTAACAAATAAATAAATAAATATATATATATATATATATATATATATATATATATATATATTAAAATTTAATATTAAAGTAATTGATTTATTTATTTATATATAAAAAGTTTAGGTTGTATTATATTTCAATTAAAATATACAAAAAAAAAGAAAAAAAACGAACGTTTAAAATCTTATTAAATTCAATTTGTATGACGTCAGAATCGGAAATGGTCGTTATTAATAAAAAACACTTCTACCAACTTAATAACAATTAATATATGTATTTAAGTACGACAGAATAAATTTATTTTTTTTTTTTATACTTTAACAAAAAAAAGGAATCGAATCACATTTCTCTCTCTCTCTCGGGTAGTCACGTGCGCGAGTTTAAATAATATAAAACCAAAATATTTGATTGCACGTAAAAAAAAAAAAATGTTTTCGATAAAAAATGGCGTCGTCAACGACATTCGAACGACGGTCGTTTTTTAAATACAACGAAAATCATGTAACTGTAAATATTAAAATTAAAAAAAAAAAAATTTAATTAAAATTTTATGATACGAGAGATTTTATTTATATTATATATAAATATAAATATATATTATTAAATTTAAATAATAAAAAAAAAACGTACGTGCGTGCGTGCGTGTGTGTGTGTGTGTGTGTATACATGCACACATTTACATGTACATTTTTTTTTTTATGTTTTTCTTTGATGTAAATAAAGGGAAAACCTTTAGGTCAGGCAAAAAACAACCTTTTCGAACAAAAAAAAAAAAAACCCTCAAATAAATTTGTCATGATTGAATTTTCAGAAAGCAAGAAAATCTTGATTTTGTGAATAAAACATCAAAAGAATTTGATCAACTTCTCGTAAAACTTATTTCCGGAAGGTTTCCATTCAAATACTCTCTCTCTTTCTCTCTCTCTCTCTCTCTCTCTCTCTCTCTCTCTATCTCTCTCTCTCTCTCTCTCTCTCTCTCTCTCTCTCTCTCTCTCTCTCTCTCTCTCTCTCTCTCTCTCTCTCTCTCTCTCTCTCTCTCTCTCTCTCGGTGTGTTTGTTGGTTTTTACAATAAAAAAAAAAAAAATATTCAAAACGTATTCGTGAAAGGTTTTTTTTTTTATTTTTTACTTACCTGTTTTTTTATGTAATATCGAAACGATCGACAATCGATCGATCGATCGATCTATTGACACGGTGACAAAATTAACCGTCGTTTGTTTTTCTCGTTATTTTTGTTAATAATTAAATTTTTCTAATTAAAGAATAAAAAAAAAAAAGAAAATCTAATTTTCAGGTAGAATAATTTTTTTTTTTTTTTATAACAAAAAATTTACATTTTAAATAAATAAATAAATAAAAAATATCGTGATACGTTACAAAAAAAAATGATTTATTTATTTATTTATTTAAAACGTTTCGCTCTTGTTTTTTCACCTCCCTCCTGTCGTAATCACTAGTGTGACAACAACAAAAATTTTATTACGTTTTATTCATTATCATTATCATTATCATTACCATTATTATTACCATAATTATTATTATTATTTTTAATTTATTTACTTTATGCAAATAATTAACGAGTGGTAATTTATATATTTAAACAATGTCAACGACATCGATTTAAAAAAAAAATTTTTTTTATTTATTATTTAATGTCATAGAGTAGAAATTTTTTCCGTTTTGGGGGGAGGGAAAGGGAGGAAGGAGGGAGAGGGGAAATTATTATTATTATTTTTCACGTCGTTAAGTTAAAAAAAAAAAAAAAATATTAATTAATTAAACCGAAACCTCGGTAACAAATTTTTCTTTTTTAAGGCGATCTGATAATAATTATAATAAAAGAGGGGGAGGGGGGGTAGGGAAAATCGAAAAAGAATTTTCCAGAAGAAAATAAAAATATGGGTAAAAAAAGAAAAACCGATTTTAAAAAATTATTTATTATTGTTTTTTTTTTTTTTGTAAAACAACAAACGGAAGAAAATAAAATAAAAATGAAAAAGTTTTTTTTTTATACTCGCACGCACGCACTCACGCACACACCCACACACGCAAGTCGTTTGTTTGTTTGTTTGAAACGTAAAAACCAGAAAGAAATTTTTTTTGCTGTTGTTGTTGTTGTTGTCGAATAATAATTTAAATGAAGGTTTTTGATTTGGTTTGTTGTGTGTCCTTTTTATTAAAAACGTTTTTCATTTAATTATATTAAAATTTAAACAATAAAATGTTTGCCGTTGTTGTTGTTGTTATAAACAAAAGGGAAAATTTGTAATGTAAAAAGTTAAATTTTCTTTTTTAGGGGGAGAGAGAGGGGGGGATGAAAGGGAGAGGGAAGGGAAAAAGTTGATATTAAAGAAAAAGAAACTTTGATTAACTTTTAAACAATACAAAATAAAATGAAGAAAGTTAAAGTATGAATGAAAGGTGATTGCTTCAAGGTAGTAATCATTGAATAACCTGCGAAAAACCCCGAAAAAAACTGACCGCCTGCTTAAAACAAACAAACAAACAAACGAACAAACAACAAAAAACATTCACACTGTCCTAATATCGATCGTGAGGAAAAAAAATTGAAAAAAAAAGAAAATCTTTCTTCATCATCGATTTTTTCTTATTAATTTAAAAAAAAAAAAAAAATTAACGTGGTTTTAGATAACAAAAATTTTTGGCGCGAATAATAAAAAAAATTTAAATCAATTTAATTATCGTAAACAAAAATAATAAATAATAATAATGAAATTTTTTTTTTTTGAAAAATTTTTCGAATAATGAAAAAATTCCGGATTTCGGTTGTTGTTTGTACGATGGATTTTTTTTAAAAAAATATTTTTTTTGTTTGTTTGTTTGTTTATCTGTCTGTTTGTTATATTTATTAAGTGTTGAAAAAAAAAACAAAAAAAAAAGAGAAAATTAAACAGGAAAATTTT